ATCTAAATTGGATCATAAATGCGACCTGTACTTTGTTTACAATTTAACTTCTACAGACGGACGGACGGACATGCATAAATCGACTCAGGACCCATCTAAAAATATAGAGCTATATGGAAAATTGTCTTCAGAGTACTGGTTAGTTTAGATAACGAGGCCAGAAAATGGAAGGAAATGTTTTTTATTATGATATTGGAATATGGCGCCCAACCTAAGCCGGAAAAAATTATCCTATTTTTTTATACCCTTCACCACACTGTGGTACAGGCATGTTAAATTGAATAAAGTTCAGGTCGCAATTATTATTCGAATTGGATGAAATTTGCCAGAGCTCGTCTATTTGGTCCATGGACGAACTCTATTGAATTCAGATTTAGATATAGCTCCCACATATATGTTCGAACTTAAGGTAAATGGTTCACAAAAGTTCCTATATATCTTTCAATTTCCACGACATTTTGCATAGCGTACTGACTTGAGTCTAGAATGATGTGTATACATTTTCTTGAAAATCGGTTCAGATTTAGATATAGCTCCCATATATATGTTCGACCGATTTAATGTAAATGGTGTACCAAAGTCCCTATATATCCCTCAATTTGTACGAAATTTGGCATAGCGTACTGAATTAATGCTACAATGATGCGTGTTAAGTTTCTTAAAAATCGGTTCCGATTTAGATATAGCTCCCATATACATTTTCGCCCGATTTAATGTAAATGGTGCACCAAAGTCCCTATAAATAATCCGATTTGCACGAAATTTGGCTCAGCGTACTGAATTCTGCCTAGACTGAGCATAGGTTTCAGAATATATGTACGGATTCATGTTAGTCGGTTCACATATAAAGATCACATATCGACGCCTCCGAACCATAGTATGCTAAGTCTGAAAAGTGAGTTTTTCAGTAGAAGCTCATATATTTTACGGGCCATGCTAAGTACATTTTTGCTTAAAACTTTGGTTTGGATTGCCCAGTCCGATTTTACTACTTTCCTTACTGGTTTAAAATAATATTTGGGAGGGAGGTTTATATATATATATATATATATATATATATTTTAATGTTGTTTATTAAAAAAGCGAAGAAAAAACTGAACGATAGCTTTCAGTCGATCAGCTTCCATACACTCTCATTACCAATTTATAGATTGCAGACTATTGAAGAATGTGTTTGTGTGTGTGTGTGTATGTGTGGTCTGTTGTTCAATGAACTGAACTGGGTTCAATCGATAGATAAGATTGATGCAACTACTCTAACAACTAACTCTAACTTAAAAAGCATGGGTATGTTCGGTCGGGTCGAACCTGAAAATTCTGCTATGGTCCTTAGCATACTTAAATTTCATAGGGTTAAATTGTTGATTACTATGTCCACACATGGACCAATTCTTCACATATTCTGCATTCTGCCACAGTACCAAACTACAACGCCTTCTGTTAGAATCTGAGACTCGATATGATATGATTTTATTTAAATTATCATTTAGTTACAATTTAATATTTTCTCAACTTTCAAAAAGATTCCCTTCTCCGGGGCAACAATAATACTTTTCTTATCCAGCACAATGGGAATTTGAGTCTGCTCACAAACCGCAAAACGGAAATTCTTCAACAGTAATGCCAAACCGATCATTGCTTGCATTTTACCAAAACGCATACCAATACAATTGCGGGGTCCATCACCAAAGGATAAATTCAAGACGGAATCACGTTTGGTAACTTCGGCAGGACTAAAGTGGTCAGGATTAAATTCATTCGGTTGTGGGTAATAACGAGCATCACGATGTATGGCAGCAGCGGGTATAACAATTGACATGCCTTTTTTTTATAACATATTTGGGGTTATCCGCAACCACATAATCCTCATAGGCCAAGCGATTGATGGTCGGTATGTTGGTGTAGAGAGGTTTCTAAAAAAATAAAAATATAAATATTTTTTGAAAAATCAGCCTTTTGAAGAATATTTTCGAAAAATCCATGTCTTTTAATAGACCTTGAAAAAAATTGTTGATAGTCTCTAAAAATATTTTTAAACCAGTAAGTAAAGTAGTAAAGTCGGACGGGGCCGACTATATGATACCCTTCACCACTTTGTCATATTCAAAAGATGAATTCTAACAGAGGTCTAAATTTTTGAAGGACCATTAACATGAAAATTGATCCATAAACATGTCATTCTGTCACCTATACTAAATTTTTCAATTGGTCAGATATAGGGTTGCTTCTTATGTTATAGTAACTTCAGTACGTAGTGCTATATTTTGTGCCGATTGGACCCACCTTGTTGAAGCATTTATATCCTATCTCTGGCTTATACTAACTTCAGGGACTTTGGTGCACCATTTACATAAAATCAGAAGAAAATATATATGGGAGCTATATCTAAATCTGAACCGATTTTCAGGAAACTTAACACACATCATTCTACGCCTAATTTATTACGCCATGCCAAATTTCGTAAAAATCGAATGATATATAGGACTTTGGTGCGCCATTTACATAAAATCGGAAGAAAATATATATGGGAGGTATATCAAAATCTGGACCGATTTTTAGGAAACTTAACACACATCATTCTAGACATAATTCATTGCGCTATGCCAAATTTCGTGCAAATCGAAAGATATATAGGGACTTTGGTGCACCATTTACATAAAATCGGAAGAAAGTATATATAGGAGCTATATCAAAATCTGTACCGATTTTCAGGAAACTTAGCACACATCATTTTGTACCTATTTCAGTGCTCTATACCAAATTTCGTGCAAATCGAAAGATATATAGGGACTTTCGTGCACCATTTACTTTAAATCGGACGAAACTATATATGGGAGCTATATCTAAATCTGAACCGATTTTTTCGAAACTTGGCACTCGTCATTCTGGACCTAATTCATTACTCTATGCCAAATTTCGTGCAAATCGAAAGATATATAGGGACTTTGGTACACCATTTACCCTAAATCGGACGAAGATATATATGGCAGCTATATCTAAATCTGAACCGATTTTCAGGAAACTTAACACACATCATTCTAGACCTAATTCAGTACGCTATGCCAAATTTCGTGCAAATCGAAAATTATATAGGTACTTTGGTACACCATTTACATAAAATCGGACGAAAATATATATGGGAGCTACATCTAAATCTGAACCGATTTTTTCCAATTTCAATAGGGTTCGTCCTTGGGCCAAATAAGAGACCTATACCAGATTTCATCCAAGTCGGATCATAAATGCGACCTGTACTTTGTTCACAATTTAACATGGACAGGCACACGAACGGACGAACGGTCGGACGGACATGCATAAATCGACTTAAAAAGTGATTCTATGCACATTCTCAAAAGGAACCATGTGTCCATCTCGTTTCCTTTTGCCTGTTACAAACATATGCACAAAGACATAATACCTTGTATCACAGTGTGGTGAAGGATATAAAAATCCACGCCTATTTTAGTAGCCTATAAAAATGGTTTAAAAATAGGCTGGCCTTTTGTAGAACCTTAGCGCCATCTACATCTAAAATAGAGGTAATAAATACGCTTTTTTATTCGGTTTTTTGTTTGTATCTCTACTCACCCTGTATCACCTGCTCCAAATATACCATTTCCTTAAGGCATTCATATTCAAACACATCGTTGTGATTTTCCAAAACCCGGCAAACTTCCTCCCTGGCCTTCTCCTGCACATCCAATTTCTGAGCCAATTCATAGAGAGCAAAACTCATGGTGGTCGATGAGGTCTCAAAACCCGCCAGGAGGAACACAAAAGCCTAGGCAGCAATTTGACCAAATGATATATTTGTCAACTCACCCTCCACCCCCTCCTCCTTAAATAATTTCTGATTTTTCAAATCAATTAACATGTCCATAAAATCATTACGCCGAACATTCTCCCGCTCACGATAATCCACTGTCTCCTTGACAATTTTCATAAAATATTTTTCCACTTCCGGTAGGGTTTCCTTGATGTGTAGTTTGCGACATAGTTCGGGGAAACTAAAACGTATTACCATGCCCAAGTTACCGTAACGTTGCTCACTTAAGGCCTTGCGACCCATTTGCAAAAATTCAGCATCCACATTTTTCATACAGTTCATATTCAGACCAAAGGCACAGGTGCCAATGACATCTGTGGTAAAATAGCCAGCCAGATCTCTCATTTCCATAATTTCCTCCTTCCGCAGTAGTCTCTCCCCAACCACCTCCACCAAATCATAACCCAGCTGCAAAACCAAGGGGAACATTGCTTTTATACGTCCCGAGGTAAATGCTGGCGATAATTTATTACGCATGTTACGCCATCTGTTGCCATTCAGGTTAATTAACTGTCCCGACAGCGGATCATCCTCCTCATTGTTATAGAAACCACGATCGGCAAATTTATTGAAATCTTTTATGAGTATCTGTTTGCTGAGTGCTGGGTCCAATACAAAAATCGCCGTCTTATGCAGCCAATAGAAACCCACAAAGGGACCCGAGAAGTTGCGATATTTTTCATAATATTCTAATATGATTTGATTGAAGGAACGAGTGGTGGATAGGCCGGACAGACTTCCCAGCAGCCAATTGGGTGGCTCACAGGGTATACCCTGATTGTGCCAATAATTAAAATGTTCACGTAGGAGATGATCGATGTAAGCCAACAATGTGAATAGAATACTGAACAGAATCGGAAGGGCGAACATGGTTATTTATTAAAAAATAATTAAAACAAAATACTTGATGATGTTATCGCCGCTGCTATACAAGCAATACTAACAGGCAGCGGGTCCAACAAAAACATTCACAGAGTCTCTTCTCTTAAATAAAAGAAAGATCGAAGCTCATCCAAAAACATGAGCTTTTGAGAATAACTGAGAGTCCAACGTGAGAAATTAATTAATTAGGAAAAGCCAGAGATGGAAATTCTGAATTATTAAATTTTTGAGAGAAGATGATCATCCGAATAAAAAATATAAATTATTGGGGAAAAATATTTATTTTTATTACTTAAATAATATCGACCCTTAAATATATCCCCCCTGTCGGTGATGTCAAAAAGCTCTGCTTATCATATTCCATGGGTATCATAGTTCGATCGCATATAGAAAATCGAAAATTGTGCAGGAGCAATGCCAAGCCAATGATAACTTGCATTTTACCAAAACGCATACCTACACAATTGTGTGGACCCTCACCAAATGGTAGATAGAGTATCGGATCACGTTGTGTGATTTTTTGCGGGGAAAAATTATCGGGATTAAATTTTTCTGGCTGGGGGTAATAACGTTCATCACGATGTATGGCTGCGGAGGGTATTAATATAGGCATTCCTTTGCGTATAATATAGTCCGGGTGATCGGGTACCACATAATCTTCCAAGGCCATGCGATTGAGTACCGAGAGGGAGGTATGGAGGCGCATTGTTTCTGTAAGGGAAAAAGTGGAAAAAATAAAGGAGGATTTTTTAAAATATTTTTAAAGTATAACCAGAGGCGTAGATTAAAAAAATCTAAGCTGCTACAATAGGCGTGGATTTTTACACCCTTCACCACACTGTGGTACAGGGTATTATGTCTTTGTGCATATGTTTGTAACAGGCAAAAATAATCAGATTGACCCATAGTTCCTTTTGAAAATATGCATAGAACCACTTTCTGAGTCGATTTTTGCATGTCCGTCCGTCCGTCCATCCGTCCGTCCATGTTAAATTGTAAACAAAGTACAGGTCGCATTTATGATCCGAATTGAATGAAATTTGGCACAGCTTATTTGCTTGGTCAAAAGACGAACCCTATTGAAATTGGGAAAAATCGGTTCAGATCTAGATATAGCTCCCATATAAATGTTCGACCGATTTATTGTAAATAGTGTACCAAAGTCCCTATATATATTTTGATTTACCATTTTTGGTATACCATTTAATGTAAATGGTATACCAAAGACCCTATATATTCTTGAATTTGCACGAAATTTGGCATAGCGCACCTAATTGAGTCTAAAATGATGTGTGCTAAGTTTCGTGAAAATCGGTTCAGATTTAGATATGGCTCCTTTATATAGTTTCTTCCGATTTTAGATAAATGGAGCATTAAAGTCCCTATACATCTTTTGATTTAAACGAAATTTGGCACCTCGTTCTGTATTAAGACTAGATTGATATGTGCTAAGTTTCGTAAAAATCGGTTCAGATTTAGATATAGCTCCCACATATAGTTTCGTCCGATTTTAGGTAAATGGAGCATCAAAGACCCTATATATCTTTTGATTTAAACGAAATTTGGCACAGCGTACGGAATTATGTCTATAGTGATGTATGCTAAGTTTCGTGAAAATCGGTTCAGATTTAGATATAGCTCCTATACATATTTTCGCCCGATTTAACATAAATAGTGCACCAAAGTCCCTCTATATCTTTCGATTTGCACGAAATTTGGAACAGCGTACTGAATTTAGCCTAGATTGATGTGTGTTAAGTTTCGTGAAAATCGGTTCAGATTTAGATATAGCTCCTATACATATTTTCGCCCGATTTAACATAAATAGTGCACCAAAGTCCCTCTATATCTTTCGATTTGCACGAAATTTGGAACAGCGTACTGAATTTAGCCTAGATTGATGTGTGTTAAGTTTCCTGAAAATCGGTCCAGATTTAGATATAGCTCCCATATATATTTTTGTCCGATTTAATGTAAATGGTATACCAAAGACCCTATATATTTTTGAATTTGCACGAAATTTGGCATAGCGCACCTAATTGAGTCTAAAATGATGTGTGCTAAGTTTCGTGAAAATCGGTTCAGATTTAGATATGGCTCCTTTATATAGTTTCGTCTGATTTTAGATAAATGGAGCATTAAAGTCGATTTGTTCGAAATTTGGCACAGCGTACGGAATTAAGTCTAGAGTGATGTGTGCTAAGTTTCCTGAAAATCGGTCCAGATTTAGATATAGCTCCCATATATATTTTTGTCCGATTTAATGTAAATGGTATACCAAAGACCCTTATATAGTTTCGTCCGATTTTAGATAAATGGAGCATTAAAGTCCCTATACATCTTTCGATTTGTTCGAAATTTGGCGTAGGGTACTGAATTAGGTCAAGAATGATATGAGTACAATTTCTTGAAAATGGGTTAAAATTTAGGTATATCTCTTAAATATATTTTCGTCCGATTTTATGTAAATGTGCCAAAGTCCCTATATATCTTTCGATTGAAACGATTTTTATAAACATTTTTATGTAACTTACCCTGAATTATTTGCTGCAAATACACCATTTCCTTCATGCAATCATAGCTAAATTCCTGGTCATACTTGTCGAGTACCTCTCTAATTTCTTGCCGAACCTTTTCCTGCTCCTGCACGTGTTGGGCCAATTCATACAATGCAAATCCCATAAGTGTCGAGGAGGTTTCAAAACCAGCCAATAGAAAAGAAAATGCCTGGGCAGCAACCTGACCAAAACTCAGAGTCGGCAAACCATCCTCCCCTTTATTGTTCTTCAAATCAATCAATAGATCCATAAAATCATTACGCCTTGTCGAACTCTCCTCACGACATTGCATTGTATCTCTTACAATTCGCATAAAATATTTCTCAACATCGGCCATAGTTGGTTTGAGGTGCAGACGTCGTGCAAATTGAGGATAACTAAAACGTAAGGCAATTCCTGGACGTTGTTCCACGAAGGCTCGGCGACACATTTTCCGAAACTCGGCATCCGGTTTACGCATACTATCTATTTCAATGCCAAAGGCACAACTGCCAATTACATCGATGGTAAAGCGTGATATCAAATCCTTTATATCTAATATTGGATCCATGGCGATATTTTCCTGAAATAGCTTCACAAGTTCTTGGGCCTCCCGCCTAACCAATGAAAACATTGCCTTCATTTTGGAGGATGTAAATGTTGGTGTTATTTTATTACGCATAAAACGCCAATGTTGACCATATAAATTGAACAAGGAACCCGTCAGCGGATCATCTGCCTCATTGCAATACATACCACGATCGGCAAATTTTGCGAAGTCTTTAATGAGTATCAACTTTATAAGCTTGGGATCCACAACAAACACTCCCGGTTTGGTAAACCAATAGAATCCAGCAAATGGTCCTGCATTCCGATATTTCAGATAATATTCTTGCCATACGTGTGAAAAGGGTCTCTGAATTACCACTCCTCTTAAATTTCCCACCAACCAATGGGGTGGATCACAGGGAATATGACGAGATTTCCAATAGGTTATATTTTTATAGAATAATCGCCAGGCATATAAAAGGAGAACAACAGCGACGGATATTAAAATTCCGCTTACAGACATTTTGTGAATGCGAAAAAATGCTTCCTCTTTTTAGGAAATGTGGATATACAACTGATATGACTGGCTTGGTGGGGATTTAAATATCCCAATCGAAGAAAGCTTTACAGCGAGCTTTTAATTCTTTCGACACAGTGTTAAATTCCATACAAAAAAAAATAAAAATGATATCTTCAAGTTCGTTACACGATATGCAGTTCAGAAGTTCGTTCATCTTTACAATACTCCGCTGCTCCGCACAGTGTTTCTCTTTCATATAAAATTGAATCTCAAAATGGAAAAATAGAGGGATGGATTTTATAAAAATATTTTTTTGAAAATAACCCAAGGTCTGGATTTTTTTCTGGAGGCAACCCAAGCCCTGGATTTTTTCAACCCTTCACCACACAGTGGTACAGGGTATTATGTCTTTGTGCATATGTTTGTAACAGGCAAAAATAATCGAGATAGACCCATGGTTCATTTTGAGAATACTTTTTAAGACGATTTATGCATGTCCGTCGATCTGCCTGTCTGTCCATGTTAAATTGTAAACAAAGTACAGGTTGCGTTTATGATCCGAATTGGATGAAATATGGCACAGCTCATTTCTTTGGCCCAAGGACTAACCCTATTGAAATTGGGGAAAATCGGTTCTGCTTTAGATATAGCTTCCATATATATTTTCGTCCGATTTAAAGTAAATGGTGTACCAAAGTCCCTATATATCTTTCGATTTGCACGAAATTTGGCACATCGTAATAAATAAGGTCTAGAATGATGTGTGTTAAGTTTCCTGAAAATCGGTTCAGATTTAGATATAGCTCCCATATATATTTTCGTCCGATTTAATGTATATGGTGTACCAAAGTCCCTATATATCTTTTGATTAGTACGAAATTTGGCAAAGCGTAATGAATTAGGTCTAGAATGGTCGCAGTGTTCGCATTGGCGGATATACTCAAGAAGTACAAAGCCGATATTATTGTCTTACAGGAAATGCGATGGAAAGGGACAGGCGTAAGCAAATCAGACGATTACGCCCGGTTTTATAGCTGCCATGAAACGAGTCATGAATTTGGCTGCGGATTTATGGTTAACAGGAGAATAAAAGACCTTGTCTCCAGATTCACTCCAGTAGATGAGCGAATTGCTATAATCCGTATAAAAGCGAAGTTCTACTACATCAGTCTTATTTGCACCCATGCTCCGACCGAAGATAAAGATGAACAGACCAAAGACATATTTTACGAGCGCCTAGAAACAGCATATGACCGTTGCCCTGGCCATGACATTAAAATTCTGCTAGGAGATTTTAATGCATAAATCGGAAGGGAAAATATCTTTAGCCCCACCGTCGGAAAATTCAGCCTTCATGAAGAAACATCCGACAACGGCAACGGAGGTTCATTGACTTCGCTGCAGCAAAAAACATGGTAGTTAGCAGCACCAGATTCAAGCATCTCGATATACACAAGGCCACCTGGATCTCGCCTGATCAAGTAACGAGAAACCAAATTGATCATGTTGTGATAGACGGAAGGCATTCATCCAGTGTTTTAGACGTCCGATCGATCTGAGGAGCGAATATCGATTCGGACCATTACCTTGTGGCAGCCAAGGCACGCACCCGTCTTAATGTTGCAGCAAAGGTGCGATCTAATACTACACGGAAACTTGACGTCGAAAAGCTGCAAACACAACAGGCAGCCGAGGCCTACTCCGCTCAACTTACCCATCTGCTTGAAGAAAGCACTTCTTGTCCCGATAATAGTATAGAAGCACAATGGCAAAGAATTGCCCACTCCCTACAAACTGCAGCAAAAGGAACAATTGGGTACCAAAAACCACCACCAAGAAACCCATGGTACGATCAGGAGTGTCGTAATGCTACTGATGTGAAAAACGCAGCGTATAGGGCAACCCTGCAGGCAGTAGCAACACGTAACGTGATGGAGAATTATCGGGAGAAAAGGAGAGAGGAGAAACGTGTTTTCAGAAAAAAGAACAAGAAAAACGTGAGCGTGAGCAAATCGAGATGTACAGGAGTCAAGAGTCAGCAAATCGAGATGTACAGGAGTCAGATTGAAGTCCGGAAATTTTACCAACGAGTAAAACACCAAATCGAAGGTTTTGGTGCAGGCACATTCTCCTCCTGTAGAGATGAAGAAGGACACCTAGTGATATATACAGACAGCGTGTTGAGGATCTGGAAGGAGCATTTCGAAAATCTTCTAGTATCAAATAGTGGCGATGAAGAAGATACCCCAGAACCAATAAGAGATGATGGTATAGACTGTATACCACCTAGCCAAGATGAGGTCATAAAAGCAATTAATCGGCTCAAGAACAACAAAGCAGCAAAAGCCGATGGGTAACCAGCCGAACTATTCAAGACTGGTGGCCAGGTGCTGGTCAGGAGCATGCACCAGCTGATTAGCATAATTTGGCTAGATGAATGCATGTCCAATGATTGGAACCTCAGCATCCTGTGTCCCGTGTACAAAAAATGGAGACAAGACGATATGTGCCAACTATAGAGGAATAAGTATCCTTCCCATCGCATATAAAGTGCTATACAGTGTGCTGTGATTGAAGCCAATGGTCAATGACATCATCGGACCATACCAATGCGGCTTCAGACCTGGCAAATCCACCATTGACCAGATTTTCACTCTGCGCCAAATCCTGGAAAAGACCCACTAAAAACACATCGACACATACCACCTATTTGTCGACTATAAAGCCGCATTCGACAGCCCTATCCGTTCAGAGGTGTTTAAAGCCATGTCTGCGTTCGGCATTCCTGCAAAATTAATACGGCTATGCAGGATAACTTTAAGTGGCACAAGGTCAGCAGTTAAAGTAGGAAAGGACCTATCGGAGCCCTTCAATACCGAACGAGGATTCAGACAAGGTGACAGTTTGTCGTGTGAGAGAACCAAAGGTGAACAGAAATGGCACTCTGTACACCAAACAACACATGTTACTCGCCTACGCCGATGACATCGATATAATGGGTCGAACAGTGCGAGCGGTAACAGCCACCTTTGAACAAATTGAACAGGAGTCTGCCAAAGTGGGTCTGGCAGTAAACGGCGAGAAGACCAAGCTGATGGTATCAACGAGCAAGACGTCCAGTAGACTCAGACCAACTGTGGAACTTGAAAACTACAGCTTCGAGTTAGTTAAAGACTTTATATACCTTGCTACCGCCATAAATAAAACGGATGACATCAGTTTTGAAATTCGGAGAAGGATTGTGATGGCCAACAGATGCTACTATGGTCTATGTAAGCAGTTTAGAAACAAGGCCACCTCCCGCCAGACCAAACTCACACTTTACAAGACGCTGATACTACCCGTGCTATTATATGGCTCAGAAGCATGGGTACTTGCGCAAGCAGATAAGACAGCTCATGGGGTGTTTGAGAGAACAATTCTCCGAAAGATCTACGGGCCGATCAGTGTCGACGGTGAATATCGGCGTCGAATGAACCACAAGCTTTACAATTTATACGCGGACATCGACATAGTCAGTCGTATTGAGCTGCAGCGACTACGGTGGCTAGGTCATGTTGTGCGGATGAATGAAAATGCCCCAGCTCAAAAGGCATATAAAAATGAGGCTACTGATGGTTCCCGTCGAAGGGGAAGGCCACGAATTAGATGGAAAGACCAAGTAGAAAACAACATCTTGGAACGTGGTCTTCCAAATTGGTGGACTTGCGCACAAGACCGACGCGCTTGGAAATCTTTTTTAAGCTCGGCTTATGGAACAGCCGTTCTGTAACAAGCCAGCTAAGTAAGTAAGCAAAACAGGGCGTGGGTTTTTTTTTTATAAAAATGTTGTTTTATTTTTCTATAGAAGATATTCGGCAGTCATATTATAATTCCTAATTTAAATTCCATATAACTTCCTCAAACATGTCACTAAGCCTAACCTTCTATATTATCCATTAAATGTTGCAAGTTTTCAATGTCAAGATCAATGCAAGTCGCTATGATTTTCAAACCAGTTTCATGTTAAATATTTCAGTCAAGTTTTTAAGCTGCAGCCGACAACAGCATAACAATTCGGAACGAACATTTAAGTAAATAAATTTGAAAAAAAAAACACTAAACTTAGAAGATGACTTGGATACTACTAACAATTCTCATCTTGCTGCTGGCCTTCCATTACCTTCGAAGACATTTCCAGTATTGGCAAAGTTGTGCCATCCCATCCGATGTACCCAATTGGATATTCGGCAACTTCGGCAGTGCATTAACCACAAAATCTCTTTGTCAATTATTTGCGGATTATTATGAAAAATATAAGCTGCAAGGACCCTTTGTGGGTTTCTATTGTTTCAGTCAACCCACGGTGTTTGTGATGGATCCGGAATTAATACGACGACTATTGATTACCGATTTTTCGAAATTCAACAACCACATGATGTATTGCAATGAAAAAGATGATGCTCTAACTGGACAGCTATTTAATCTAACTGGCGATAGATGGCGCACCATGCGCCAAAAACTGACACCAAATTTCACCTCTGGAAAAATTAAGGCCATGGTTCCAATGATTACAAAAATTGCTATGGAATTTGTTCAAGTCTTAGAGGAGGAAATACTGAAGACTAACGGAATTTTGAATATTCCCGATTTTATGAATCGTTTTACCAGTGACATTACCGGCAGTTGTTCCTTTGGCCTGGAAATAAATAGTTTGAGACAGTCGGAATGTGAATTCCGTACCATGTGCCACAAGGCCTTGGGTCAACATCGTTATGGTTTGCTGGGTTATTTTGTGCGTCTGTGTTTTCCGAAATTGTCGCACAGGCTGCACATAAAAGAAACCCTACCAGAGGTGGAAAGATTTTTCATGAATTTGGTTAAGGATACTGTCGCATATAGGGAGAGCAATTCTGTGAGGCGTAATGATTTTATGGATATGCTAATCGAACTGAAAAAGGGTGCAGATGGACTCAGTATAAAGGAGGTGGCTGCCCAGGCATTTTTGTTTATGCTTGCCGGTTATGAATCCACATCGAGTACCCTGACCTATGCTCTCTATGAATTGGCCCAGAATCAGAAGGTCCAGGAAAAAGCTAGACATGAAATCATGGAGGTCCTGAGAAGGCATAACGGATGTCTGGGATATGAGTGCTTGAGGGAATTGGTGTATTTGGAGCAAATTATGCAAGGTAAGGTGAATTAAATCATTATTTTCCCTAGCTTCTAGCTGAACGTGGATTCCTTAAACATAGTTTTAAGGGTTCATACAGGTGCGGATTTTTGATTTCAGATATGGATCTAACACAAGGCGTGGATTTTTTAAAAATATTTTTTAGGGTCTAACACAAGGCGTGGATTTTTTAAAAATATTTTTTAGGGTCTAACACAAGGCGTGGATTTTTTAAAAATATTTTTTAGGGTCTAACACAAGGCGTGGATTTTTTAAAAATATTTTTAGGGTCTAACACAAGGCGTGGATTTTTTAAAAATATTTTTTAGGGTCTAACACAAGGCGTGGATTTTTTAAAAATATTTTTTAGGGTCTAACACAAGGCGTGGATTTTTTAAAAATATTTTTTAGGGTCTAACACAAGGCGTGGATTTTTTAAAAATATTTTTTAGGGTCTAACACAAGGCGTGGATTTTTTAAAAATATTTTTTAGGGTCTAACACAAGGCGTGGATTTTTTAAAAATATTTTTTAGGGTCTAACACAAGGCGTGGATTTTTTTAAAATATTTTTTAGGGTTTAACACAAGGCGTGGATTTTTTAAAAATATTTTTTAGGGTCTAACACAAGACGTGGATTTTTTAAAAATATTTTTTTAGGGTCTAACACAAGGCGTGGATTTTTAAAAATATTTTTTAGGGTCTAACACAAGGCGTGGATTTTTAAAAATATTTTTTAGGGTCTAACACAAGGCGTGGATTTTTTAAAAATATTTTTTTAGGGTCTAACACAAGACGTGGATTTTTTAAAAATATTTTTTAGGGCCTAACACAAGGCGTGGATTTTTTAAAAATATTTTTTAGGGTCTAACACAAGGCGTGGATTTTTTAAAAATATTTTTTTTTACCTTTCAGAAACCCTTCGCTTATATCCCATTGGTTATGTTTTGACCCGCCAAGCACTGGAAGATTACCGCATACCCGATTATCCACAACATTTCATCAAGAAAGGCATGCCAATTTTTATACCCGCCGGAGCCATACATCGTGATGAGCGTTACTTCCCTCAGCCGAATATTTTTAATCCAGACAATTTCAATATGGAAAATTTAAAATCCCGAAATTCAATTCTGAATTTATCCTTTGGTCAGGGACCACGTAATTGTATCGGCCTACGTTTTGCCAAAATGCAAACGCTTATCGGGTTATCATTGCTGTTGAGGAATTTTAAATTTTCCATTTGTAATTTGACACCAATACCATTGGTATATAAGAAGCGGAACTTTATGAATTATCCTGAAAAATCGATTTATTTGAAAGTGGAGAAAATTGAAGAAAAATAAAGAATGCGGATTTTGACATCGATTTATTTATGTATTGCTCAATTAATACAATTTCTTAATTTATAATAAAATTTATTTTTTTTTCTATTTTTTCTTTACACTCTCTTCACCTTTAGCGGAATACCTTTGGCCCCTGGTACCAATATAATACCCTGTTTACTATATTCCATAGGTCTGGGTGTTTCGTCGCTAATGGAAAATTTAAAATTCTTTAAAATCAATACCAATCCGATAATAACTTGCATTCTAGCAAATCGTATACCAATACAATTACGTGGACCCTCCCCAAATGGGATGTGTAATATCGAATCACGTTGTGCCATTCGTTCGGCAGAAAAATTATCCGGATTAAATTCCATTGGTTGGGGGAAATAGCGTTCATCATGCTGTATACCTTCGATGGGTATGATAACGGTCATACCTTTACGTATTATGAATTTTGGCTGATCCGGTATGGGGTAATCTTCCTGGGCCACGCGATTCAAGAAGGGGGCAATTGAGTGGAGCCTTAGGGTCTCTAAGAAAAAAAAAATTGGAAATTAGTTAATGCAAAATAAAAACTATGGGTTCCTCTTACCATTTATCACCTGCTCCAAATACACACATTCCTTCATCCCCTCATAGGTCAATTGCTGTCCATGTTTATCCAAAACTTCCATGATTTCCGAACGCACCCTCTCCTGTATATCTTCGTGACAAGCCAATTCGTAAAGTGTAAATGCCAATGTCGATGCCGAGGTCTCATAACCCGCCAACAAATACAAAAATGCCTGGGCCGCAATCTCACCAAAATTCAACTGCTTCAATTCCTCTCCACTCTCCGATTTTACCATAGGCTTATTTTTCAAATCAATTAACATATCCATAAAATCATTACGCCGAATATTATTCTCCTCACGATATTTCACAGTACTGCCTATCAGTTCTAGGAAATATTTTTCCACCTCCGGTACGGTTTCCTTGAGATGTAGCCTCCTTGCCAGCTGGGGGAAATTTAAACGAAATGCCGCACCCAAGGTACCACCCCGCACTTCCACCATTGCCTTGCGACCCATTTGACGAAATTCCGATTTGGAATTTTTCAAGCTGTTCGTTTCAATGCCAAAGGCACAGCTACCAATGACATCGGATGTATAGCGGGCCATAACATCCCACACCTCAATAACATCGCTGTGTTCTAACTCCTCCCCGAACACCTTGGCCACTTCTTGCCCGATTTTCTCCATTAACGGGAACATTAATTTCATTTTTCCCGATGTGAACGCCGGTGTCAATTGGACCCGCATATTTTTCCATTTACCACCATCCAAGTTGAATAATTGACCCGACAATGGATCATCTTCGGTATTGTGATACATACCACGAGAACTGAATTTCCAGAAGTCTTTAATTAAAATCCGTTTTATAAGATCCGGATCGTTGACCACAACCGCCTTTTGGGCAAACCAATAGAATCCAAAGAATGGACCCGTATTCTTATATTTGTCATATACCTTCCGCACACATTCGCCAAGTGAAAGATTGGCGGTAACCCCTATAAAATTGCCCAATAACCAATGGGGTGGATCGTGAGCTATATCACGACGTTTCCAATAGTTATAGTGCTCCCGCACACGATGCACAATATAGCCAATGAGGAGAAGGATTATGGCAATAAGGAACGAAGAGATAGCCATGATAAAATTCACAACAAATCGGTCCTCTAACGACACTTATATACACCCAGTTCGATGCCCGAAATGCAACTAATAAAATAATTCAAGCCTAAATGTTAGTGACCAGAACTTTCTGAGAGTGGCAGATTGAGATAACAAAATTGTGTTTTTTATTTGAAGAGCGAACACGAGAGGGGAATTTTCGCTGTTTTTGTTAGCACATTTCTATGTTCTAAATTAGTAAAGAGAACAATTGCCGCCAGACTACGAAGCTGTTCAGCATTGCTTTAATCTAGAGGTGTTCAAAAAGAGAGGAAAGTAAAGGAGAAACTGCCATATGAAATGTCTTATAAAAAGAGAACGCAGAGAACGAGCTTACTGATACATGCAAAACAAGGGCACCAGTTCATATGGTTGCCCAGCATTACTTTAATCGAAACGACAGATAGGAGAATAAAAATTTACAATGAGATGGCTGCTCGTTTCCCTATTTTGAGTATTCTTCAAGCCTCAAAAAATCCTATAAGATGATCTACGCCAGTTCTGATCTTCAGAAAAAAAAAATTCTTAAAGAAATCTGTGCCTATTTGGACCTTGAGCAAGAATTCTTAATAAATCTAGCAATCTGCGTCTATTTTGAACTTGAGAAAAAGCTACTGGTTCAATATAGGCATAAATTCTTTACCGAATAATATCTAAAATATACTGTAAAGAATCTATGCCTATTTTGCACCTGTTCTGTCCCAGAGAATTTTCTTATAAAAATCTACGCATGTTCTGACCATGAGAAAAATCCTATAACAAAGGAAAGTAATAAAGTCGGACTGCACCGATATATTGGATATATTCTGCACATATGTTAGGATATATATGCAGAATATATCGACGCTATATCTAAATCTAAACCGATTTTCACGAAACCTAGCACACTTTATTCTAGGCTTAATTCAGTACGATGTGCCAAATTTCGTGCAAATCGAAAGATATTTAGGGACTTTGGTGCACCAATTACCTAAAATCGGATGAAAATATATATGGGAGCTATATCTAAATCTGCACCGATTGTCACGAAACTTTGCACACATAATTCTAAACCCTATTCATTATGCTGTGCCAAAATTCGTGCAAATCAAACGATTTCCAGGGACTTGAGTGGACTATTTACCTAAAATCGGACGATGATATATAAGGGAGCTATATATAAATCTGAATCGATTTTCGCGAAACTTAGCACACATCATTCTAGACTTTATTTAGGTCGCTGTGCCAAATTTCGTGCAAATCGAAAGATATATAGGGACTTTGGTGCACCATTTACCTTAAATCGGACGAAAATATATATGGGAGCTATATCTAAATCTGAATCGATTTTTCCCAATTTCAATAGGGGTCGTCCTTGGGCCAAACAAATGAGCTGTGCCAAATTTCATTCAATTCGGATCATAAATGCGACCTGTACTTTGTTTACAATTTAACATGGACAGACGGACGGACGAACATGCTTAATACGACTCTGAAAGTTATTCTATGTATATTCTCTAAAGGAACCATGGGTCTATCTCGATTACGTTACATATACACAAAGACATAATACCCTGTACCACCGTGTGGTGAAGGGTATAATAAAAAAAATATTCTCAAAAAAAATCTACACCCATTTTGAACTGGAACTTTTAGAAGGGCAATGATATTCCGTTGTTTTCTTGTCTATGGAAGATGTCTAGAATTTATTTTGGCTATAGATATTCGTTGGCCTGAATAGGTCCCCTGTCACAGAAGGTCTCTAGAAAGTCTTCTATCTATGAGAGACCTCATCGTCTTCCTAAAAATGTACCAACAGATTTTCTGTTTACCAAAGGTCTCTAGACGATATTCTGAGTGCCGGACCTGCTAAATGTGTCTTTAGAATTTCCTATGTTTGTGGAAGACTTCCGGAAGACTATATAAAACTAAGAATACCTTTGTTTAAAAAAATACCTCTAAACATTATCTGTTCGGAAGTCTTCTGGAAGATTGTCCGTGTCTGAGATATCTCCAGAAGGTCTGATACACCCTAAATCTGTGGGAGATCCATGGAATACTATAAAGGAGAGCTAGGGTGTACTTTGTTCATGGAAGCTATTCTTCCTATGAAGAATATATAAGCAGAGATCTTTGATTCATAGAAGACGTATAAAAGGTTATATTCCCAGAAGTTTCATAAAATATTTACTGGCTACAAAAGATAGTAAGTAAGAGGGTGGACAATTTTCTGTCCCTGGGATGCCTCTGGAAGGCCTATGAGGCCTCCAAAAGGTCTTGGGAGTATTTTCTTTATAGAAGGTATTCGGTCTGTGGAAAACCTCTTGAAAATCTTTTTTTTTTATAAAAAGACCACATTAAGGCCTTGCCCACAGAAGGGCATTTGTCCTCTATGCCTAAAAGTCCCCTAGAAGAAGACCTCAAGAAGGTAGTTTGCCTTGAAAGCTGGAATAATTTTTTGTCACTATGATACCTGTAGAATAGCTCTGGAAGTTATTTGGTTATTTGTCTTCCAACAGAAGTATTTTTGTCCTCGGAGGACCTCTATGTGGCCATTTACCTCAAAGGAACCTGGTATATTTATTTTTGTCTACATAAAACCTCTTTCAAGTCATCCTAGAAGTCCCCTAGAAACTGTTCTTTTTCTAGAAGATTTTTAAATTATTTGGTTTCAGAATAATTCTATAGGATTTCTGCCCCTAGACAGTCTATTGTCTGTAAGAGACTTCTGAAATCTATTGCGTCAATAGAAGAGCCACAGATATTTGTCTGTGCGGAGATTATCTCTAAGTAACCTATATCTGGCCTCAGTTCGATAAGAAAAATATGTTGGTTACCCCGGAAAGGGATGTTGTTTTGAAGGTTACAAAAATATAAAGAAAGAGATTAACTTTTTTGGAACAAATAAATGGTTTTTTTTATTTTGTATAGCCTCTAAAGGGATTCCATAGCCTGAAGACCTGCAAATGGGCACCCCATTAGCAGAAGACTTCAAGAGACCTTCAATAGTCAACAGGTTTCTGTAAGGTTTTATAGGACACCAGTGTAGTCCTCCTATTGACCTCTGTAGTAGACCTCTGGCTACATTCTGGACGCCTTTCATAGACTTTGTACACCCTCTAAAGGGCTCACATAGCCTGAAGACCTACTATTGGCAGAAAATCTTCTAGTGTCCTTTTTCTAAACACTAGACCTCTGGTGTAGTTCTTCCACCGATTGAATATCCTGACGACCTGAATATCCTGAAATACCTGACGACCAGGATTTCTGTCCCTAGAAGATCTAATGTCTGTAAAAGACTTCTGAAATCTATTCGGTCAATAGAAGATCCACAGAAATTTGTCTGTGCTTAGATTATATCTAAGTAATCTATATCTGACCTCTGGAAGAAGATCAATCTCTGAGGTGCCTAGAGTTTGGGAGGTTTTATATCTATGAAAGACCTACAAAAGTGTTTCTGTCTTTAGAGGACCTCTAAGTGCCTTCTGTCAACAAAATGATTTCTAAAAGATATTCTGTCTATTGACGACCTCTAATAAATTTGTGTCTCTATGATACTTCTTGAAGGTCTTATGTATTTTGAATACCTCCGGATGTTATTTGTAGGACCTCCACCAGTACTTTTGTATTTCGATTACCTCTAAGTAATCGTCTGTCTAGAGGAATTCTAGAAATTTTTCCCATTACAGAAGGTTTCTAGAATAGTTTTCTGTGTAAAATGTAATTTTTCTATAGACGATCTCTATATAAAAAGTGGTACCTTGTTGGGCGCCATTCACAAATATTCCTTAAAAAATTGTTGGCTTGTTGGGCGCCATTCCCAAATATTCTTCAATAACACTAAACCTGGTTGGGGGTCATTCACAAATAGTCCTTAAACAATTGTTGCCTTGTTGGGAGCCATTAGAAAAATATTCAGGTCCGTTAAAAAAAATGCCTCTGGACTACATTTCTATAGGCCATAGCCATAGATTTTTATTGCTGGAAGGCTTTTAGAGCTCATAAATATGAAAAAGACTTATTAGAGCTATTCGGTACCTTGAGAAGCTTCTCGACGTCCCCTCTACCTAGAACATTTTTCGCAGCTCTTCAATAATTATTTGATATTATGCAGTAAGTTTTTCGATATTACACATTGCGGAATGGCATTGCGTCATTGTATATTATTTTATAACAACAAAACAACATTTTCCTCCTCTCTCACACTCTGTTGATCTCCCTCTTTGCCCTCTCTCTCACCATTACCATTAACGGAGTATTGAAAATTGCATCAGTATTTTGTTTATTGATGTTCGATAGTTTACGATACCCATATGGCTTTTTTAATTTTTCTCTCTACTTTTCTCGCCCTTTTGATCTCTCAATCTCTCTTGCGCTCTCTCTCTCCTACCAAATATTTATCTTGACCAATTGTTTAGATTTTCGCTGTATATATGTGTGTAGAGAACAAACATACTACACAGTCGAAGTTTAGTTGAAACATAAACGTCCCGACGATAAAATACGGTGGTGGCGAAACGCGGTGACCCACAACAAAAGAAGTGTCATGTCACTTACAACAATTTTTTTAGCCACTTTAGTGGCTATCGTGTTTTATTTCGTATACTCCCTGCGTAAGAGATTTTCCTATTGGCAGCAACGGGGTATAGCCTGTGAGGAGCCGGATTCATTTTATGGCAGCATGAAGGGACTTAATCAGACTCGCAGTTTTCGTGACATAACCCATGAGTATTATGAGAAATTTAAGGGCTCAGGACCCTTTGCCGGATTCTATTGGGGCTATCGACCAGCTGTGTTTGTATTGGACCCATCTTTAATGAAAAATATTCTCATTAAAGATTTCAATAAATTCAGTGATCGTGGATTTTATCACAATGAAAAAGATGACCCTTTGACCGGTCAACTATTCCTCATCGATGGCGCAAAATGGAAGGTAATGCGGAATAAGCTGTCACCCACTTTCACCTCAGGGAAAATGAAATTTATGTTCCCCATAATTCGGGACATTTGTGAACAGTTCATTGAGGTATTGGGCGGGATGGCGCAGGAAAATTCCGAAGTAGAAGTCAAGGACATTTTGGCCCGTTTCACAACCGATGTAATAGGGTCATGTGCCTTTGGCATTGATTGTTGCAGTTTGAAAAATCCCAATGCCGAATTTCGGCTAATGGGTAAGAAGGGGATGAATGAACAGCGTCACAGCCTGTTGGTAATGGCTTTTATGCAAAGTTTTCCCGAAGTGGCGGCCAAATTGGGTCTGAAGTTATTTACCCAAGATGTCATAGATTTCTTTATGCGGATTGTTCGAGAGACTGTGGAATATCGTGAGCAGAATAATGTGAGGAGAAATGATTTCATGGATATGCTGATCGATTTGAAAAATAAGAAATTAATCCGCGCCGAACATGGAGAAGATTTGAAAAATCTCACCTTGGAGGAGATAACGGGACAGGCTTTTGTTTTCTTCAATGCCGGGTTCGATACCTCATCGACGACCATGTGTTTTGCTCTCTACGAATTGGCAAGGCACCAAGAGATCCAAGAAAAGGCTAGGCAGGAGGTCCGGAAGGTGTTTGAGAAACACAATAATGAGTTGCAATATGAGAGTATGCGGGAGATGAGCTATTTGGAGCAAGTTATATCGGGTAAGGAATTCAAATTTTTATTATTAATTTTAATATTTAATAATTTTTAATTGTTTCCCAGAAACTCTCCGCCTCTACACCGTGGCCCCACTACTCAATCGAAAGGCCTTAGAGGACTATGAGGTCCCTGGAAATCCCAAATATGTTATCAAGAAAGGCATGCCTATTCTAATACCCATCTCAGCCATACACCATGATCCGGAATATTTTCCCAATCCGGAGGAATTTAATCCAGAGAATTTCTCCTCGCAAGCTATTGCGGAACGCGACTCCATCTTGTATATACCCTTTGGAGAGGGTCCCCGCAACTGTATTGGCATGCGTTTTGGTAAAATGCAAGCCACCATCGGATTGGCATATCTTTTGAAATATTTCCGTTTTGAGATTTGTGAGAGGACACAAATTCCGCTGCAGTTTGATAAGAAAAATATGTTGGTTACCCCGGAAAGGGGTGTTGTTTTGAAGGTTACAAAAATATAATATTTGGAACAAATAAATGGGTTTTTTTTTTGTATAGCCTCTAAAGGGATTCCATAGCCTGAAGATATGCAAATGGGCACCCCATTAGCAGAAGACTTCAGGAGACCTTCAATAGTCAATAGGTTTCGGGAAGGTTCTCCAGGACACCAGTGTGGTCCTCCTATTGACATAATATCTCTGGATACATTCTGGACGCCTTTCATAGACTTTGTATACCCTCTAGAGGGCTCACATAGCCTGAAGACCTACTATTGGCAGAAAATCTTCTAGAGTATTTTTTATAAACACTAGACCTCTGGTGTAGTCCTCCCACCGACTGAATATCCCTAGGCCCTTCTTTAAGGTTTTCCAGGACACCAGTGTAGTCCTCCTATTGATATAATACCTCTGGCTTCATTCTGGACGCCTTTCATAGACTTTGTATACCCTCTAGAGGGCTCACACAGCCTGAAGACCTACTATTGGCAGAAAATCTTCTAGAGTCCTTTTTATAATAGACCTGACGACCTCCACAGGTCTGATTTATTTATATATTATTATTTTTTTTTTGTCTAGATACCTTTTATACACACACCATTTCCAGAGTCCTTCTATAGACAGAAGACCCTCAAAGGCCCTCTGTAGACTAGGGTTATTTTATATACAGAAAACCTAGAGATACTTGCTATATGTTTCACGTAGCCATAAGACCTCTGGAGAACTTCTTCTATAAAGGCCCCCGATACATTCCTTCTATTGACAGAAGTAGGTAGAACAGTTCTGCTTCGGACTCCAATAGACAATACTTATCGGGAGATCTTTATTTCTTTTCGTTTTTTCCCTAAAGATCTGATAAAGACAGAATACCGGTAGAGTGCTCCCATCTAAATTAAGACCCTTAGAGGCATTATATAGATAGACGATCTCTAAATGATTTTTAGAAAAATTCTATAGGTTTCGTATAGCCAGACGACCTCTGGAGAGATTTTATTAACAGAAGAACACCTCAATACAACCTTAAGACAGCATACTCTGAAAGGCATGCGATACACAAAGAACTTGTAGTTGGTTCCGATTGACAGAAGTATTTAGAATGCTTCCAGACTCCAATGGATAGTATATCCAGGAGACACTCATGTTTTTCCTCGAAGGGTTCAAAGTCTTTAAAATGCCTTTTTAGACCACAGAAAATTAAAACGGCATGTTAGCCTATTAAAGACAGCACAATATTGACAGAATACCCTTAAATAACTTCTGGAGTCACTATATAGAAAGGCGACATCTAAAAGCCAGTGAGGACCTTCTAAAGGTCTTACATTGACTGACGACCTCCAGAAGATTTCATAATTTCAGTATAGAGCCCCCCTATAGACAGATTATTTTCGAGTCCTTCTATAGAAATAATACCTCCGAAGGTCCTCTTTAGACATGACGCTTATAGACCAGAGGCCCCAATTTGCCATATATACTCCAATGCAAGACCTTCGCTAAACAGAAGACCACTAGAAGTCATCTGTAGACAAAAGAGGTCTCTAGAGGCCTTCTTCAGGCGGATCAACAAGACCTTCGCTAAACAGAAGACCTCTATAAACCTTCTACAGCTAAATTTGCTTCTAAAGGCCATCTATGGACACAATAGCTCCACTTTATATTGACTGATTTTCTTCTACAGGCCTTTCTTTGGAGACAAAATTATCTGATATATACACAAGTTCAATGTACCCTAAGGACCTGTTATAGATCTTCCAGAGGCCTGCTCTAGGCAGAACACCTATATAAGCCTTCTACAGACAAAAGATGCTTAAGAGTCCTTCTTCAGAGAAAGAACAACAAGACCTTTGAAAGACAGAAAACCTCTGATCTGATTCTATTGAAATAATGCAGGCTTGTCCTCCAAAGATAGAATTATTTTCAATGTCCCATAAGAACCAGCTATAGACTGAGGACCTCTAGAAGCTTTTTACTGATAAAAAAAGTTTTCCAGAGGCCAAAGATAGAATTATTTTCGACGTCCCTTAAGAACCTTCTATAGACCTTATAGAGGCTGCTCACTCGACTGAAGACCTCTAGAAGCTTTCTACCGATAAAAAAAAGTTTTCTAGAGGTCTTCTTCCGACCGAATAACAAGATCTTCCCTAGACAAAAGACCTCTAGAAGCCCTTTACAGACAAAAAAAATGACTTATATATTCAATAGCTCTGATTTCTCTTGGCAGAATTACTCTAAAGGTCTGTCCTCTGTAGACAGAATCCTTTTCGAGGTCTACAATAGGTATCAGTGCTCCAAAGTCTTTATACGGGCCTCTATATAATTTCTGTATAGGAGGCTTCTACACAAAAGTCCTTTTCTAGACTGAAGATCTCTAAAGGCCTTTATTTTTTATTTTTCTCGAAGTCTCCAACCGCTAGAGGCTGTCCTCTGTATACAGAATCGTTTTAGAGGTCTGCTATAGATAGGAGTCCTCTAAAGACTTTCTATAGACCCCTACTGACCTTCTAGAGGTGTTCTACAGACATAAGGCTTCTACCCGAAGTACCTTGTCTAGAGAGAAATTCTCCAAAGGCCTTTCGAAGATCTCATAAATCATTCTATAGACCCCTACAAGCCTTCTATGGAACGAATTCTTTCTAGAATGCCTACCCTTGACAGAAGACCTTTAGTACAGGCAAATGAATGCATATACAGGTCTGACTGCCTCTAAGAATCTGTCTTCTATAGACAGAAGAAGACCTGGGGGGAATTTCTCAAGAGTGAAGTCTTATAAATGAATTCTATAGACATAAGAGGTCCACTACGGACGGATATCATTATAGGTAATCTGTAGCAAGAAATTTTATTTTCTAATTTTTAAACAAAATTTCAAAATTTTTACCAACACCATTGATTTTCAAAAATAACAATACCTATTACGAGTCCACAAAAAATCAGTTAAATAATTGTTTACATTTATATGATAACATTTATCGGATAGATTTCAACACAGCCAACAAATATTTCGTCATATTGGCTGATAGCAGTGGAGGGTATTCCCATTGTGGCTATAGAACTTAAATAATTGAAAAACAATCATTAAAACAGTCACGAATAGAGATCCGGTCGAAAAAGCCTTCCTAAAACAGTTCAAGCCTAGAAGTTCCCTTTAAAAAAAACTGTGCCCTATTTTTGGTCAATAGTGCATCCTTCGATTTGCACGAAATTTGGCATAGCGTACTAAATAAGGTCTAGAGAGATGTGTGCTAAGTTTCGGGAAAATCGGTTCAGATTTAGATATAGCTCCCATATATATTTTCGTCCGATTTTAAGTAAATAGTGCACCATAGTCCCTATATATCCTTCGATTTGCACGAAATTTGGCACAGCGTACTGAATTAAGCCTAGAATGATGTGTGCTACGTTTCGTGAAAATCGATTCAGATTTAGATATAGCTCCCACATATATTTTCGTCCGATTTTAGGTAAATAGTGCACCATAGTCCCTATATATCCTTCGATTTGCACTAAATTTGGCACAGCGTACTGAATTAAGCCTAGAATGATGTGTGCTAAATTTCGTGAAAATCGGTTCAGATTTAGATATAGCTCCCACATATATTTTCGTCCGATTTTAGGTAATTAGTGCTTCAAAGTCCCTATATATATAATTCGATTTGCACGAAATTTGGCATAGCGTACTGAATTAAGTCTAGAACGATGTGTGATCTGAATAAGGTCTAGAGAGGTGTTTGCTAAGTTTCGTGAAAATCGATTCAGATTTAGATATAGCTCCCATATATATTTTCGTCCGATTTTAGGTAAATAGTGCGCCAAAGTCCCCATATATATCCTTCGATTTGCACGAAATTTGGCATAGCTTACTGAATTAAATCTAGAACGATGGTTGTTAAATTTTAATAAAAAGTCCACAGTTAAGCTTGATAAAAAATATTCACATCATATATATTTTCAATTAAACTTTCTCCACCTTCAAATAGACACCCTTATCGGTGCCGATCAAATACGAAACCTTACCATAGGTCAAGGGTATCTGGGTCTTTTCACACACTGAGAATTTGAAATGTTGCAAAAGTAAAGCCAGACCAATGGTGGCCTCCATTTTACCAAAACGCAAGCCAATGCAATTTCGAGGACCCTCACCGAAACCCAAAAACAAAACTGAATCACGTGTGGCCACTTTCTCAGGGGAGAAATTGTCGGGATTAAATTCCTGCGGCTTGGGATAATAACGCTCATCACGATGTATGGCTCCAGAGGGTATTATAATTTGCATACCCTTTTTAATAACATATTTGGGATTTTGCGGTACCACATAGTTCTCCAAAGCGACACGGTTCAGGACAGGAAGTACAGTATATAAACGCAGGGTTTCTGTAGAGCAAAAAAGGGATGCCAATTGAAGGTACTTTAATTTTGAAAATTATGTCAGCTTACCCATTAAAATCTGTTCCAAATAGGTCATCTCCTTCATGCACTCATAGCTTAGCTCTCCTTGATATTTTTCCAATTTCTCCATAACCTCCTTTCGGGCCTTATCTTGTATCTCCGGATGTTTGGCCAATTCATATAAAGCAAATCCCAAAGTAGTCGACGAAGTCTCAAAGCCCGCATTGAAAAATACAAAAGCCTGGGCAGCAATCTCTTCCAGCGTCAAATTGGTCAACTCATCCCCGTGTTCCGATTTGATAAGCTTCTTATTTTTCAAATCAATCAGCATATCCATAAAATCATTACGCCGAATATTATTCTTCTCGCGATATTCCACTGTCTCCCGAACGATGCGCATAAAAAATTCCTCAATATCATCGGGGGTCTGTTTCATATGCAGCTTGCGGGCCAGCTCACAACAGCTAATCATAAATCCAATTATGAGGCGATTATGTTTATGTTCCACCAAGGATCTGCTGCCCATGACACGAAATTCTGCATTGGGATCTTTCAAACTGCTGCACTCAATGCCAAAGGCACAGGTTCCAATCACATCTGTGGTAAATCGGGCCATTAGTTCCTTTATTTCCACAACACTGCCCTCCTTTTCGTCCACCAAATTTCCGAGAACCCCAATCATCTCCTTGGCCACTTGAGTCACAGTGGGAAACATAAATTTCATTTTACCCGAGGTGAAGGTGGGTGATAACTTCTGGCGCATTTGTTTCCATTTTACACCCTCCAGCAAGAACAACTGACCCGACAACGGATCATCCTGTTCGTTGTGAAAGAAACCACGATCCGGAAAATTTTGAAAATCCTTGATCAAAATGTTTTTAATCAACTCGGGGTCCAATACAAATACCGCCGGCTTAAAGAACCAATAGAAACCGGCAAATGGTCCCGTGCCTTTAAAACGTCGATAATAGTCTTCCCATATTTCCCAGAAGCCACGAGTCAACTGGACTCCCTTCAGATTGCCAAAAATCAAATGGGGCTCTTCGCAGGGTATACCCAGAGACTGCCAATAGCTGCGACTTTTATACAACGAATGAATAAAATAGCCGATAAGACCGGTGAGAATGGTTAATAGAATTAGCGATAACTCCATGTGGTTGGTTTTTTCCCGATCGAAACTTCTCCAATGCCGATTGATAACTGAATGCTAAATCATTGTTTTTGGCAAAGCTTTTTGCCAAAAAAATTTGGTTTTAGAACTTTTGAGTTTTTTTTTAATGGTAATTTAATTGCAACTTAGATAACAAATACAAACGCACAAACATACATACTTATAACCGGTCTACGATTTAGTAAACAATAAAAATAATAACAACTAAACAATGACAATATTCGGCGAACATAGAAAAAAATTGGATATGCCCAATTTAAAGTCTGGAATTTAAGAGAATCCCCACAAATTTCAAATGTCGATTATTTTTAAATATTTGTCATTGGTCCAAGGACGAACCCTTTTGAAATTGGGAAAAAATCGGTCCCGATTTAGATATAGCTCCCATATATATTTTCCTCCGATTTTATGTAAATGCTCCACGGAAGTCCCTATATATCCTTCGATTTGCACGAAATTTGGCATAGCGTACTGAATTGAGTCTAGAAGGATGTGTGTTAAATTTCGTGAAAATCGGTTCAGATTTAGATATAGCTCCCATATATATATTCGTCCGATTTAAGGTAAAAAGTGCACCAAAGTCCCTATATATTCTTTGATTTGCACGAAACTTGGCACAACGTACTGTACTAAGTGTAGAACAATGTGTGTTAAATTTCGTGAAAATCGGTTCAGATTTAGATATAGCTTCCATGTATATTTTCGTCCGATTTTATGTAAAAGGTGCTCGTAAGTCCCTATATACCCTTCGATTTGCACGAAATTTGGCACTACGTACTGTATTAAGTGTAGAACGATGTGTGTTAAATTTAATGAAAATCGGTTCAGATTTAGGTATAGCTCCCATATATATTTCCGTCCGATTTTAGGTAAATCGTGCGCGAAGTCCCGATATATTTCCGATTTGGACAAAATTTGGCACAACGTACTGTATTAAATGTAGAACGATGTGTGTTAAATTTCGTGAAGATCGGTTCAGATTTAGATATAGCTCCAATACATATTTTCTTCCGATTTTAGGTAAATGGTGCACGGAAGTCCCTATATATCCTTCGATTTGCACGAAATTTGGTACAACGTACTGAATAAAGTCTAGAACAATGTGTGTCAAATTTCGTGAAAATCTGTTTCGATTTAGATATAGCTCCCATATATATTTCGGCCCGATTTAAGGTAAATAGTGCACCTAAGACCTTATGTATCCTTCGATTTGCACGAAAGGTGGCATAGTGCAATAAATTGAGTATAGAATGATGAATTGTGCGTTTCGGGAAAATGGGTTCAGATTAGGATATAGCTCCCATATATATCTTCGTCCGATTTTATGTAAATCGTGCTCGGAAGTCCCTATATGTCCTTCGATTTGCACGAAATTTGGCACTACGTACTGTATTAAGTGTAGAACGATGTGTATTAAATTTCGTGAAAATCGGTTCAGATTTAGATATAGCTCCCATATATATTTTCGCCCGATTTTATGTAAATGGTGCACGGAAGTCCCTATATATCTTTCGATTTGCACGAAATTTGGTACAAGGTACTGAATTAAGTCTAGAATGATGTGTGCTTAATTTCGTGAAAATCGGTTCAGATTTCGATATAGCTCCCACATATACATACATATATATATTCGTCCGATTTTACCTTAGTGGTGCACCAAATTCTTAATGTTTGTCCGATTCCTAATATTTGTCACGCCAACAGAGTCGTGAATTTTTTAAAAAATATTTTTTCAAGTAGGGTGGATTATCTAAAAAAAATTTAAAACTGGCCTGCTTCGTCATGCTATATACCTCATATCAAATTCCCCAACAAATTAACTGTCATTAAAAAAAAAAACACTATCGTTCTGTTTATTATCTTTCATCAGCTGTGTGTCTTGGCCCCCTGTTAACCAATCTCTGAGGGTGTGTGTGTGTGCGTACGTAGAGTAAAACTAGTGCCGGTTAATGAAGCCCAATACTGCAGAACCTGTAATTATTAATAAAAAAAAACGTTGACTCCCAAATAAAAAACCCCGCATTTTCTCTCAGAGAGTGAGAAAGCTTTCGTAATTAAAATCAGTTTGCTGACTGGTTCTACTGGTCAGTTTGTTAGTGAACGCATACGGCGGATAGTGTTCGACCGGCTTCATCGTTACCGTGGAACAATGTCTTTATCGTTTATTTTATTCACGACCGTGTGTGGCCTACTGGCCTATCTCGTCCATGTTTTAAAAAAGAAGCAAAACTATTGGCAGTCTCTGGGTATACCCTGTGAAGAGCCTCACTTCCCGTTTGGCAGTTTATGGGGTGTGCAGAAAACCCGAGGCTTTTGGCAAATCTGGGAAGAATATTATAATCGCTTTAAGGGTTCCGGACCATTTGCCGGATTCTATTGGTTCTTCCGACCGGCTGTCTTTGTGCTGGATCCCGAATTAATCAAAAATGTTTTGATTAAAGATTTTAGTAAATTTACCGATCGAGGTTTTTATCACAACGAAAAGGATGATCCTTTGTCGGGCCAGCTATTCCTTTTGGATGGGGCCAAATGGAAAAATATGCGTAACAAATTATCGCCCACCTTCACATCGGGTAAAATGAAATTTATGTATCCCACAGTGACCAAAGTGGGTGAAGAATTCATTGAAGTTTTGGGCAAAATGGTGGAGCAGAATGGCAGTGTGGTGGAGGTGAAGGATTTGCTGGCCAGATTTACAACCGATGTCATTGGAACCTGTGCCTTTGGCATTGAATGCAGTAGCCTTAAAGATCCAAATGCCGAATTCCGGGTGATGGGTAAAAAGTCGTTGGTCGAACAGAGGCACAATCGTTTGATAATTGCCTTTATGGCCAGTTTTGTGGATTTGGCCAGGAAATTGGGTTTCAAACAGACCCCCGATGACATCGAGGCATTCTTTATGCGCATTGTCCGCGAGACGGTAGAATATCGTGAGAAGAATAATATTCGTCGCAACGATTTTATGGATATGTTGATTGATTTGAAAAATAAGAAGCTCATGAAATCCGATCATGGTGATGAGTTGACAAATTTGTCGTTGGAAGAGATTGCGGCCCAGGCTTTTGTATTTTTTATTGCCGGCTTTGAGACCTCGTCGACCACATTGGGTTTTACGTTGTATGAATTGGCCCAGAATCAAGAGGTACAGGATAAGGCAAGGAGGGAGGTTATGGAGAAACTGGAAAAATATCAAGGAGAGTTGAGCTATGAGTGTCTGAAGGATATGCAATACTTGGAGCAGATATTGTCGGGTAAGGGAATGAATCGATTTTTACAAAAATATAATTTTTTAAAGCAGAGTGCATTTTCAAAAAAAAAAATATATAATTTTCAACAGACGACTAGAAGCGTTAAATGCTTTCAATGTCTAATTACATAGTAATCTCGGCAGAAGTAAAAAAGGGTTGCCAAAGCTTTTCAGGCGTGGATTTTTTTAAAATATGTTTTGAAGGCCTTAGAAGAGGCGTGGATTTTTTTGAAAATATGTTTTGAAGGCCTTAGAAGAGGCGTGGATTTTTTTAAAATATGTTTTGAAGGCCTTAGAAGAGGCGTGGATTTTTTTAAAAATATGTTTTGAAGGCCTTAGAAAAGGCATGGATTTTTTAAAAATATGTTTTGAAGGCCTTAGAAGAGGCGTGGATTTTTTAAAAATATGTTTTGAAGGCCTTAGAAGAGGCGTGGCTTTCTGCAGCCCCAAGAATTTGTAACGCCGCGAAATATTGATCCTTTGAGTATACCGATCGTCATATCTCGACTAGCTGAGTCGATCGAGTCATATGTGTCCCTCCATCCGTCTCTCTGTCCATTATAATTTGTAAACACGATACAGGCCACAGTTATGGACCAATCTTCACGAAATGTAGGATGGATGCTGGCTAATGAAAATATCGGTTAATATTTAGGGGATAAAATGGACCAAAAACATTATTTTTGTCTGATTTTCTGGTCGCTCCAGAGGCTGCAAACATAGAATCCGGCAAGGGAATCTGGACAAGTAATTAGAAGAGCTGTACTAAATATTAGTAATATTTATTGACCTCTAGTCGGTCAAGAGGGTGCAAATATCGGGAAATATTACCATAGCTCAGAATGTAGTGCCACATAAAGTTAGATTTTCGTGGGAGTTGTGTAGGGTATCATATGGTCGGTCCCACCCGTCTATACTGCTCCGCTCACTGGTTTAAGAATATTTTTTTTAGGAAATCTTCGAATATGTTGAAATAAATTTATTAAAAATATTTCTTTCCACATGTTTTCCTTTTCAGAAACCCTCCGCCTCTACACAGTCCTGCCCATACTCAACCGTATGGCCTTGGAAGATTATGTCGTGCCTGGCAATCCCAAATATGTCATCAAAAAGGATATGCAAATACTAATTCCAGCCGGAGCCATACATCGTGATGAGAAATATTATCCCAATCCGAATACCTTTAATCCTGACAACTTCTCTCCGGATAAGGTAGCGGAACGTGATTCGGTATTATTTTTACCATTTGGTGAGGGTCCACGCAATTGTATCGGAATGCGTTTTGGTAAAATGCAAGCCCTAGTTGGATTGGCATTACTAATGAAAAATTTCCGATTCTCTGTGTGTAAGGAGACACAAATTCCCCTGACTTATAGTAAGGAGGCATTTTTAATAAGTACCGATAAGGGTATTTATCTGAAGGTGGAAAAAATCTAAAACGTAATTTTGTAATTTTTTTGTGAACAAAGAATAATAAAAATTATAGATAATAAAAATAATAATTTTGTAAAATTAAAAATTGCTTTGTAATGTAATGGTGTCGCTCATTTCACGGGTGATAGTTGGTTTGGTGGAGCGTTAAGTGGTTTCAATGTCTAATTACATAGTAATCTTGAAAAGGCAAAAAGGGTTGCCAACGAAAATTTGAATATATTTTTTTCAAGGCATTAGGAAAGCCGTGGATTTTTTTAAATGTCTAAAATTTCAGACCCCACAATGTCTATAAATTTCAGAC